CATGGCAAAGGTGTTGGCTGAGTTTGAGTTGGCCTCGCCTGATCCGGTTAGGCACCTCGCCTTTGAAACCGACATGCTCAGAACCGTACTGTACCGGTACCGGTACGTGTACCGGTGCTAATGTTAGCAGTGTCTCCCACCGGTGCTATGGTACCAGTACCGGTACCTTATAACATAAGCGACCGGTTGTATCATCAAGTGAGAGTTTCCTCGGCTTGGGTTGCATAGAAATTGCAACCAGAAGGAGTTTGGAGGCCAGACCTTCATCTGGGCACACATCATAGTATCCTAAGCTGTTGTTGTACTGGTACTAGTATGTGCTCGGATGAGATTGTGGCAGTCAATCCGAGTCGTCATCTCGTTTGTTCAGCTCATTCCTCGGTTCCTCCACCTGGGGTTGGAGGTTGATGCGACCATTTTTTCATTTTTCGATTTTCATTTTTTTAATCGGAAGTAGTCGTCAAAAGTGTGACTGAAATTCATTTTTACATAAACAATTACAAAATGTGTGCTTTCTACCTAGCTAGACTACCTGTACCACCTTCTCATTACGGCACTAGCTAGAGCAAGCTAAGGCAGGGGAATAGATATGAATAGTAATAATGTTTGCTTCTGCTACTCATGCTGAGAAGATATACGTGGTAGGCTTGGATTGATTGCCATGTTGGGAGTAACGCTATCTCTCGCTATCACGTAACATAACACACAATCCTGGATTCATGGATCCAATGCTCGTGTTCAATCATGTGCCGCAAAATTTCGCTGCAACGTCTCGGTTGGCACAATCCGACGAGTGAGTAGCTAGACTCTACCGGACATACTTGCTGGTACGTTCACAGCATAAGAAGAAAAAGATCTGACGACGGGTATCATCACGACATAATGGGTGCGTCCTAATTAATAGTGGTCAGAATTACCGAATAGTGCAATGCATGGAAGTAGTTATTCATTTATGAATTTCATTTGCCCTTATCTCCTTTAACGATTATTTGTTTTGTTGCTGGCTGTTGCTTCTGTTCCTAGTATTTCCCTGCTACCATACCATATGATAGCTACTGGCAAACTACCGTGACTGGTCTAGACACCAAAGCTGGCAGAGCGGAGAGACAGCATGGCATCAATGGCAGTTTCTTCCTTGGTGGGAGAGCGATCGGGGACACTGCCAAGCACAGCGACGTCAGGCTCCACAATTGGTTTGTCCGCCGCCATGGAGGGAGAAACGGTCGGGACGGGCAATTCAAAGTCTTCGTTGTTCTTCACAAAGAGTTTCTCAGGCTTTACGTAGAGAGGAGGCATGGGGATACCTTCAAAGGGCTTTGGGGCAGCTGGGCAAGAACCATCATCAAAAGAGACGACAGAACCAATCGAGTGGGTCCTGGACACAGGAGGCTCCGTCACAAAGAGTGGAACAATGGCGTGGGATGAATAGTGGGCGCTAGGGTGGTGTCGATGGTGGTGGCGGTGATGATGGTGATGAGGGGGTGGGGGCAGGAGGTGGGTGAGGGTGGTGATAACGTGCATGTTTTGGTGGGATCGAGGATGGTGATGAATGTGGTGGGGCAAGGGAGCCTGGCGAGGACGGTGAGGGCGGTGCGCCTGATGAGGCCGCTGATGGTGATGCGCCAGATGAGGCTTGTGGTGGGGGACTGAGTGCCGAACATGGGAAGATTGGCGTGGAAAGGTATGAGAGGTATGAGTGGGGACAGCATGGTTTCGAGGAACAATAATGGGCCTTCGAGCTTGAGCGGGAACATGGGCAGCACCCTTGACCTCCTGCTGCTCTCGTTGCTTCTTGCAATTGTCAACTCCTTCTTTCGAGCACGGCAACGCTGCTGGCGAAGTCGAGCAGCCAAGCGTTTCCTCATCAAGCGCTCCGTGGGGCTAATCGCAGTCTTCGAATCAGATACCATGTTTGTTCAACCTGTTCCACAAAAGAGACGAAATACAATAACAACACTCGGAATAATAGTATCAGCTAGCTAGTACAGGCTTTCTTTGTCGATCCAAAAAGTGTGACTGTCTTCTTGAGAATTGGAAATTTGTGTCACGTCTTGGCTGTGTGGTGCTTTTCCTTTTCATCTGTGGGAGTGTGGGTTGGGTTGGCTTGGGAAATCGGCGAAGAGATTTCATGACTGTTGTAAGGCTCCCAGCTTTCAGTTAGTCTCGGTGAGTTCAGTGAGTGAGTTCACGGTATTTAGTAAAGAGCATCGGTGTAGGTGTGACAGCCAGCGTGTGCTAAGCTGATTTACTTAGAAAGTCTTGGCTTTGCGGTCCCGATACTTAGAACAAATTTCAATAATTTCTTTGTCTTGTCAACCGTATCAAACCGCCATCAAACCGCCCGTTTATTAGCGCACCCGCGAGGAAACTGAGGGCACCGGTACCGCTACCGGTACCCATGAGAGCTACTAGTAGCTACCGGTGGTTGGCTGCGCCTAGATAACGAAAATTTAATGGCGAAGGGTCAGCATCATCTCATAACGTCAATAACAACTCAACAACACCAGGGGGTTTTCCATCATCATCAACGCAAACGAAGTGAGTTCCAGCTTGTGGGAGTCAAATTGGACGGGGTATCCACGGTACAACTTATGCACATCATAGGAAGATTCAATCCCACGTGATAGACACATTAGCCTTCTTGAGTTTACGAGTCAGTGATACACCGTACGAGTCAGAGTCGAGTCAGTGATACCGGTAGCATTTGCACCTCCACGGCTGGCTACATGCGGGATCCGCACACTCTGTGCCAGTCTGTCACTGCAGGAACCAACTTCTCATCAGTTGCCTCTTCTTCCCTTTGGATGTGGGTTTCCCATACAACAAATGTATCTCCATAGCTGGCCAGCAGTGACCTGCAGCAAAGCGAGCTTTGATAAGGACTATCACTTGTACGCTGTACAATTATCTCAAGTCTACGGAGTCCATGGGCCTGTTTCTTGTCGTCATTGCCGGTACGGTACTGGTACCATCCTTTGGTTATCATCTTGCATCGGGATGACCGAGCACATCGTGCTTACCGTATGGCAGGTAGGTACCGCCACTGTTTCAAGGGACCGGTGCACCATGGTGCTCAAGCAGCGAGAGTGACTGTTTTCTAACAAATTAACTTTTACAGCTATGCGGGCTGATAGATTCCCTGTTTTGAGGGTATTAGTCTGCATTCACAACACGTTGTTGAATTTTGCTTGAATCTCCCCTCCATCCCAACCTTACTCTACCCCTTTTGCTTCATTCTCATGGACTGTACTTTTATAGAATCTCTATAAATTTACTAGCCCTGTTTGACTTGCTCAAACAAGAAATCAATATCACCCATGTTGATAAGCAAAAGCACTGATGGACTCCGCGAGAGTAACACGGTCAGCACTTCGGTGTAGACAATGTGGCGAAGAGCTGCGTCGAGAAATATTCCATCTTGATGCCCATCTGTGCACTTTGAATGGGCCCCCCTTTCCAAACCAACACCCCCCCACAAGCCTCTTGGCTGCTGTGGTTTCCCCCACCCACAACAATCTTAGCCACGCTGCTGTGGTTTTCCAAGCGGTGGTGCGGGCATCGCACAAAAGTACCAACCCATGCCGATATAGTTTCAATACCTTCTCCTGCCTGCCAAAAGTGATGCCTTCTTCTTGCGCCATATCATACCTTTTATTAACTAGAACACCTTTGCCACTTGGAGATTCCAATCGCTTGCAAACCATTGCATGAGTGGATTGGTGGACAATAGGAATCGAATCAAAACCCAAGACTCTGCTTCTGCTCCTCTGAACGGTGATAGCATATTTGTTCGGATCTGCAAACCAAGGGAGGCTCCAAAACAAATATCTCGAATGTGATTCTCCGCGCCAACACAATGCGTTTTGTTTTTTTGGCTGAAGATATGAAACGTTCACAAGTGCCCATCAGGACGTAGATTCTGGTCTTGGGGCACTGAGGTGTTCTAGCTAGGTCCTATAGCTTTTCCCTTGTGGGCAAGGGGATGGAGCCGCAGCCATCATCATTGTAACGATTGACTCCGTATGTGGCGCATACAGCATCTGATGACTGTACCGTGATCTGATGACTGTACCGTACATGTTCTTTATTCGTGGAAGTGCTGATTGAATTCATTCTGGTGTCCTTGTGTCCTTTTCGGTTCTGCGTTGTGGAAGGCATCCGCCAGCCAAGGTAAGTAAGAACGAGAAAGTAAGAAACACGAAAAATGACCCCGAATTTTTAAATTCTCCAAGGAGATTAGTTAATTGCACATGTAGTTTTCTAAAGAATAAACACTTCTCTCTAAAATTAGAATATTTAATTTTTACCGATCTTTCTGAACTCCTCGCTTCGCTCTGGCTCTCTGGATCCGAGGTACCGCCACAGCGCACGACTTGCTTGGATGTGTACCAGGTATCGAGTAAGCCCACAGCAAACAGTGCGCGGCCAGAAGTAGGCACCATGAGCGATATCAGGTATGCACCTCCCGCTGGCAGTGATTTGGTCGTCATCAAGGAGCTCCTGGAAAGCTGTCAGCTGCCAACAAAAGATCTGACAGAATCCCACTTGACAAGCTTTCTCGTGGCTACTACCAATGACAATGGCATCATCGGCGTTGTTGGTCTTGAGGTATTTCCTCCATCGCCCCACGCCTTGCTGCGATCATTGGCAGTCAAGGACTCACATCGAGGTCAAGGAATTGCAACAGCCCTCTACAATCAAATGGAAAAAGTTGCTCGAGAAACTCATGGAATAAAGCATTTATACCTGCTGACCACTACTGCCGCTGACTACTTCCGCAGCAGACAAGGCTTTCAACGCGTAGAGAGGAAAGCTGCGCCGAATGTTATTCAAGCCACAGCAGAATTCAGTGCCATTTGTCCATGTTCGGCCGTATGCCTAAGAAAGGACTTGTCGTAGGTACCGTAGCTATTGGATACTAGTACCCGCATTGTGTGAAGCAAGCAATATGCGAAATTGTAGAAAGCTCAGAAAACTAACAATGAGCTAGAGCTACGAGCTAGACTGAGAAGAGAAGCTACAGAACGTAGGGACCTGGCTACAAGGCTAGAATATGTCCAACGGATTAGCGATTGGATGTCTAATCCCCCAGCCCAAAAATCTTATCTCTCTGTCGAGGCCATAGCAAACGGGCAAAAGTAGCTGCCTCGCTAGCTAGAGCTGCGAGTTGGTGTGGCAGCTCTCCAGTGATGGCACTGGTGTAACCCTGCCAGTGCAGATCTTCTTTGGGGACCTGGGCGTTGCAGGGCCAGTGAAATCTTCAATCGCTCGGGTCACAATGTCCAGCAACTCACACGTGCCATCAAGGTGCGAGCAAAGGTCGTGCTCCCTCGTGTTGTGGGCTATCAAGTCCACCCCTTGAATTTTCGGAAGAAGCTCAACATTGACGCGTTGTTGCTTCCAGAGGCTGGCATAGTGAACACAAATATACGCCTCGGTTGAACTCACTGCGCGAACCAAGTCATCTTGAAAGTCAAACTTGACTTTCGCCGGGATATCCGTACGTCTGACGAGTTCTTTGCAATTTGGAATGTCCACGTGAGGCGCAAACGCCAAAACTTCGTTGGCCAGGCTTGAGAACCTCAATGCAGCTGATGCGCCGAACGAGCATCCCAAGAACATCGAAGATTGATAGTCCTGAATGCACGCCTCAAGCTCCGAGAGAAAGTAATCACAACCATTCCAGCCCCCATTTGGGTCCTGACAAAAGCAGGAAACATTTGGATCCAATACTAGGAGGACATCAAGAATGAGGTCGCCCGAAGCATTTTGAACTATTGATGTCCAGTCTGGGTTTGTGTGCAAGTCAGTGAATACCACAATGACACTTCGGGCAGCTTGTTCCTCCGGCGAAGTTGCACAGCCGGGCAAAAAGTGGAATCTGCTGCCATGTCGAGCATACCACCAAAGCGCAAAAACTTCTTCCAATCTCGCAACAGAGACGCCCATACTACCGAGCGGTCTTCGTGCAGCATGTGCCTTGAGCATTGCCAACATGACAGCAATTCCATTTTCGTCAGCTGTGAAGCCAAGCTTTGAAAGAAGGATGGCTTCCTCCATCAAGATGGTGCATGTAAGCCCCCGCAGCGCCATGGCGTCGCCAGTATCAGGGTCGACGGCAATGTCATCCGGTAGTTCATCCATGCCTTGCTCTTGTTGTCGTTTCCGACTCCGTTCGAGCCTCGAAGCTCTTCTCTCATAGGCTCGCTGTGAGAAGCTGAACACAAATTCACGGGACATGGTTTCCTTGTCTCCCACGGACAGTCTGCAAAAGTGGAGTATTGCGGCAATGTTGGCTGTGGCCGATGCTTTTATGCCAGCGTCATCTGAAAGGAGCCCTTCCAGTAGCAGCAAGTCGAATCGGTCGGTGAAGAACTTGTGGCCGTAGGAATCGCTCACTGAAACCAAGTGTGCAGAAGAAACTCCCGTCACAAGCTGTCGCAGCCGACTCATCAACAGGAGTTTCGAATGTACCTCAATGGCTTCGTTGGATGACTTGTTCATGTGAAAATACCCCTGCTGTTGGACCCGAAACCATTTCTTCGTATACGTGAAGTACATGAGTGGCTTAATCTCATCAGAACTGTTTCGGAGGGCTCTTTGGAGCAGTCTGTTGTCCAGCACGACGACCGTCCCAGCCAGGAAGTAGGCCCGCAGCCCTTTGTGGTGCTGCGCAGATGGAGGTTGTTGGGCCGTATGAGTATTGTCCAGAGCCAGTTCGTCGTGACTGTTGTCATTGTGAGTTCCCGGAATAAACTCAATGATACCACTTGAATCCACAATATCCACCAACGGTATCAAAACTGTGAATGAATAGGCATCATGCTGATTGTCGTGAAATAGGGAAGACCCCTCGCGGTGCCACCCAGGCAAGGAAGAATCCTCTTTCTTGTACGGAAAGCAGTGCAATACACCACCTCGATCCAGACTGAAATCATGGTTGTCGCCTTGATTGAATAGCAGCAATGGGAGTTCATCTTGGAGATGGCGGCTAAGCTTTGCAATAGGCGAATCTGCATCCTCGAGTATTCTGAACTGATTTTCCAATCGTCTCCCGGGAATCCGCCTAGCATCCCAAAGCTCAAAAAGTTCACCGCTTTCAAGTTCCAAGCCTCTCGGCTCCAATTGTTCTTCTACCAACGCATCGAGAGCTTCTTGTGCCTGCGTCTTGTACGCTTCGAGATCGGTCATCATGTCCAAAAGCGCAACAATGCCATGTTTTCGAAAGGTAGACATGACCAATTCCGAATTAGGTGCGCCCTTGACGGTCAAGCTGTCCACGGTAAGTGGTCCTTGGACGGATGTCTTGGTACAAACTGAGATTTCGTCATCCATGGCGCGATTCGGTGGGTGGTCGTCGACTGCATCGTGAAACCTATCTTCCGGCACTTCCTCCTGTTGTTTCTTGGTAGCTTTCGCCTGGTCTTCCTCCACTGCGCTCATGGCTGTTCCTGGTGGATCTGAAGAAGCATTCGTCTGCTCATCCTCTTCTTTCTTGCTGTTGCTGCTGATGCTGTTGGCTGTCAAGGGTGTGGTGTCTGTGGTTGCGGACAAGGAAGAAGATTGATCTTGACTCTCACTGCGACTGTCCACAGTACCATTCATGAGCACTTCGCCCGCCTTCTGCAGTGCTGGCTGAAGTGCTGATATGCTCACGTTGCTGTCCGAAATGAGTTTGGATATCCTTCCTAGATTCTTGGTCTGTTTCCAATAGTCCAGTAGCTGTTGGGATTTGGAACGAATAGACGAAGTGCACCCTTCACTCGCTGCTTTTCGCAGCAACGGGACCATTCGCGTGGTTGTCTTTTTGAAGGCCGAGGGAGACGGACTGGGCCATTGGATTCGGAGCAAATGCAAGGCATCCAAGGCGATTTCTTCGCGCGAGACGTAAAAAGCCGAGTTTTCAAGTCTCCTGGCTTGTGTTTGTAGATCAAATACTTCCAACACACGTCGAAACTTTCTTCCATAAATGCCTTCTCGGGTCCGACACAGCTCGACGAGAATGAATTGATACCTCGGGACATACATGAGCCCCGCCGAACTGTGTTCTTCCATTTGGAACATTTCGAGTGCATTGGGTTGCAAGAGTGTCTTTAGATGCGGGTCATCGTTGGTTATTTTGAGGACTCCGCCGTCTTCTTCCTCTCCTTCCATTTGTTGGAGAAAGGCTTTCCAAGCTGGTTCATCGGAAAAGCTCTTGTCACTGACGGTATGGATCGAAAAGTCTGGGAAGTCTGCTCGGAAAAGTTCGTAGAGTTTGGCGTCCTTTTCGGCACTGGAAGTCAGTACCACTCGTTTGGTGTAATAGGAAGAATCGTTATTGCTGCTCGAGTCACAGTCGGTGGCTTCTTCGGTGGTACCTTCTTGTCCCTCTTGATCTTGTCCATCCTCATGATTATTATTGTCCACGAGATCCGAAAGATCCCTCCACAAGGGATCCAGTGCTTGACCGTCCTTTCTCGCGGCGGAACACAGCTTGTTGAAAAACTCAATGGCAAACTTGGCGGACCCTCCCGCGTCTTCCAACAGCTTTCGGTCTTTGGCCATCTTTTCCTTGTTCTTTGAGAAAAAACACGGTACTAAGTCTAATAGCTTTACTAATGCTGGAAGGGGGCAGCCAGAATGCAATAACAAGGAGTAGAATGCTGTAGACTGTAGACACAGGGAGCTAGCTAGATAGTGATGATCAATACAATGCAAGGGTATCGCAAGGCAACAGCCAATGGGATGGAGGCATTGAGACATTGTGGCATTGAAGGTTGCAAAAGGTGGAGATTGTGTTCAAAATAAATAAATAAGTAGTTCGTGACATGCATGACGTTGGGTTTGATTGAATGACGTGGATGACGGCTTCCCCCTCATTATTTTTTTGTCTGGAGATGCACGAAGCCTCATACCGATACCACCGACTCAGGTTGAATTGTTGCCAATAGCAACCATGAGATTAATCTGTCCGTGGGCCACCCTGTTTTGTGCGGTTGCTGGTTGGAATCATGCGTCGTCGTCAATGGCGGCCAATGCCTTGTCTGCCATCACCGTGACGACTCGAACCACTATACCGGATCAATCACCCAAAGATGTTCAAGATTTCTTGGCGTCTCCCGGGAATTGGCCCAAGATTGTGTCCACGTCCATGGGAGTCGAGTCTGAGCAAAATGATGTGGACAAGCCATTGCCGGTGGGGGGAACAGTGGATGAACTCTTTGGATTGCCACCCATACTGCCACTCTATGTTTCTTGGACATGCACCAAAAATAATAATTACAGACCACCATCATCATCTGCCAATACAAAGCAACAACAAAACGCTCTGGGACGCTTGGAGTTCTTTTCTACCAAAGGACTACAAGGTGTCGCAGAAAATTGCGAAATGGTATTTGACATACAGCAGCAGCAACTACAACAGCAATCATCCTCCTCCGGCACTAATGTGGTTCTAAACATGAAATATGATCCAGTGTCCTTCTTGGCCGTACTGGCGGTACCCATTTTGACACTCGACAATACCATTGCACTACAATTTCTGTTGCCTGCAGCCATGAGGGATCAGCCAGAGCTCGACAAATTTCGCAACCTCATGGGGTCCTTGTATGGCGTGGCTGGATTGGCTCATCTCGCAGACTGTATTGTGGGCGACAGTCAGTTGCTCACCATGGCTGGAGCACCTACGTTTGACATGCTTCCGCTGGTTGGACAAGTCTATGCCCTTCTGTGGTGCTTGATGGGACCACTATCCTTTGCAATGACCAAGTTGTTTGGTGGCAAGGGGTTTGCAGACATGGGACTGATACTGTACGGTCTCGTGGAAGTGGTAGGAGCGGGTCTTATTGACGTTTTCTATGGCAGTGGTAGTCTAGAGGCATCTGCCTTGTTGATCATGAACCCACTGCTCAATGCAATACTGGTTCAAGCCGTTGTGGCCGGGGCATGGTCTTATTCCGCCAACAAGGTTCCGGACGGTGTAACACCATGAGTGCTGTAACGTATCAACAGGTGGTTCCGTTGGTGCTGGTTCTAGTTCGCCACTTTGTGGCCCCGCAACACACGAAGCGCCCAACCAACAGGCCAGAGCACCGGGGCAACTGGTTTCTGTGTGGTTTGGCAGTGGAAGAATCAAACCCAAACTAAGATTCTATTGAAGGCTACAGGCCTACTGCATTTATCGTTGGTTTGAATCCAGACTGCCATGCCATGCACTATGAATAAGCTCCACCTTGTAGAAATCACATCAGTTTTCTGTCTTCTTCAGTGTCCAGAGCTCTCTCGACATTCTTTGGTAGGTTGTAGTTCATGACAGTGTCATGCTTGTGTCCAATCAAGCGCCGACCGTAGGTTGCTTGGAACACATAGCGGGGTTTGGATCCAGGCAATACAGGAGCCCCTCTGTGCCATGTATGGGCAGAGAAGATGAGAACAGAACCGGCCGAGCATCGCGTGTAGAGCTGTGGATGTTTGGCCGCCACTTCGTCTGTGCACAAGCAACCAAATCTGTGACTCCCCTCGATGATTCGGGTGCCTCCATCCTCGGGTTTGTCTAGATCATTCAAAAAGAACATACATGTGAGCACCAGCGGAGAGATCTTCACTACGACAGGCAAGGGGCGACCATCCGTTGTCTGGAAGACTGGAGGGTCGTCAGTGTGCCATCCTACGGCCTGACCCTTCATGCCGGGGTCAATACGGAATGCATTGTTATGAATCACATGTGCTTCAAGGCCGCTATCACCCTTTCCTCGCGGCGATCCACAACATCCCAGCAGTTTTCTCACAATTGACAAAACTGGTTTATTCTTGAATACATCCAAGCACAGGTCAGGATGCCTCTCAAAGACCCGCTTGAACATGGTGTGTTTCTTTTTGGATTGCTTGCCGCTGCCAGCTTGTTGGTCAATGACAGTTCGTAACTGGGCTACCTTGGCTGCGTCCAACACATTCGGAAGGAGCACGTATCCCTGGCGGTGGAAGTCTTCGTAGGCTGTTTCCTTCGTTGAAGGAGCTGCAGGCTCGAGCTTGGCTGTCTCCATCTTGCTGCTATTGTACCGGCATCGCTTTGTCTTCACTCTTTCCAGTTTGTGTTGCTTTCCCTTCCAACAATCGAGCTTGGTGCTTGGTATGGTGCGTGTTTGGTTTTCCACGGAAGAAGAGCAGCACCGAGTCCTTGGGTTTAAGAACATTTATAAAGCTTGCGATACCCTTTTTTAAGAAACCAAGGGTTGGCCCACTCGGTGGGGCTAGTACTGGTACTGGTACTAGAGTACTAGCTAGTACTCGTATCTCGGATGGTCGATGCTCAAGATCTCAATGGTGTCAAAAGATACTCAGTCGATCTGTGCGTATGTTGCAACAAAGCACCACAGCGAAGGCATTCCATGGCATTACATTACCTTCCTCTGAATATTCGGCGAAACAGTGTTGGAAGATGAATTTGGCTGCCCTGAGGGCTGGAGTTGCCCTTGCTTACGGATCCTACAGACCGTCCTTTCATGGGGGGGTCCATTGGCGTTCAGGGCTAGTATTTGGTAGGAGAAGATGCCGATGCCGACCGCAAAGTTTTGGATGGGGGGGGAGGAGTGGCCGAGATGCCTGCTTGATATCGTTGACCCGACAATTTTCTTCCTTGGAACGAACAGAAAATGAAAAGATAATGACTGACGATGCGCTCTCAATCGTTCAAAAGGCCATTGATGCTGTGGATCCCTACGCAGCCATACGCAGCAACGTTCATTTTGACTCGGAGACCAACAGCCTTCAAGTGGGTGCAGCCAAATCGCTGGATCTGAACCAGTTTGATGATGTTGTTCTTGTCGCATTTGGAAAAGCCTCTTCTGCGATGGCCACAGGAGTGCTAGAGCAGCTATCAGAGGGAGAAACGACCACAAACATCAAGAACAATAATATTCAAGGCGTAGTGATTGTCAAGGATGATCACGGGACAGAAAAAGAACAGGCGACCTTGGAATCCCATGGCATTTCATTTCTGGAGGCGAGTCACCCTGTACCGGATGCACGATCTGCTCACGGTGCCATGGAAATCATGAAGATGGTATCGGAGACAGCCAACTCTCGAACCCTGGTGATTTGCTGTATCAGTGGAGGAGGCTCAGCCTTGTTCTGTTTGCCTCAGGAGAGATTGACTCTGGATGACTTGCAACGGACAAATGCGGTACTATTGGCATCAGGTCTGTCCATCCAAGATATGAATGTGATTCGCAAGCGGTTAGAAGATGGCAAGGGTGGACGATTAGCTGCTGCTGCCTACCCATCTACAGTGATCAGCTTGATCCTTAGCGATGTGCTGGGTGATCCTCTAGACTTGATTGCCAGTGGTCCTACTGTCCCAGACACTAGCAACTGGTTGGATGCATGGCAATTGGTGCAAAAGAATAACCTGGAAGATAAGCTGCCAGAAGATGTTGTGCAAATACTGAAGGATGGAATCAATGGGGACATGCCGGATTCTCCCTCGGAAGATAGTGCTATTTTTCGGGAGGGCAAGTGTGAAACGATTGTGGTGGGCAACAATGAGCGGGCTGTGGAGGCTGCAGCCACTGAGGCAAAGAGAATTGGCTACGACACCAAAGTGCTAGGCTGCAGGGTGGAGGGAGAAGCCAAACATGTCGCCAACGTGTTTGCTGCAATGGCGCAACAACTCACTCTACAAAGGAATGGACCTGGTCAGGATTTCTCGTTAGCAACATTACCGGCTGCATTGATCTCAGGTGGGGAAACTACTGTGTCCATAGAGCCTGGCAGCGATGGTAAAGGTGGAAGAAATCAAGAATTGGCTCTGGTCTTTGCGGACTGCATTGGCAAGCTTGGCCTGCGAGATGTGGTGTTGGCATCTGTTGGAACAGATGGAACCGATGGTCCTACAGATGCTGCAGGAGCTGTAGTGGACGGTGGGACACTCGAAAGACTCGAAGGCTCTGCCGAAGATGCTCTAAGACATCATGACGCCTACAATTTCTTGGACCAGGTTGAGAGTGACAGTCACAAGCCCCTGATCAAAACAGGGCCGACAGGGACGAACGTAGCCGATGTTTGTGTTGTACTTATACGGTAGCAATCATTTAACAGATTCGTTTGGTCTGAAGAGAGGTCTAGCATCCAGGCAACACACAAGAACTACCGCGCTCTGTTTGTCAGCGTGCGGCTAGAAGAATACCTTGCAGCCGCGTGGTACTGAGCTGAGCTGGGCACAGCCTGGAACGCGATAAATCATGGGAGTTGCTGGGAAGACGGGGCTTTGTGCAGTAAACAGAGAAGTAGAGTCATCATAAAGGAACTTGGTAGAGGGGAAACTGGCTAGTAGGACTCCTTGAAGCAAGTTCAGGGTCGTAGAGTTTATTGGAATAGGACAAGAACGTGCCAGCTAGGAGGGTTCCTGCTCTTTTTTCACATCACGTAGCTTTGTCCGCATCGCCTCCAGGTCGACTTTGGAAACAAGGCAATTCACATTTGTACCGCGGCACCTCCACATCACCATCAAGAGTTTCCTCGCGTAATCGGTTTCGTAGCCCTTCAAGAGAACCACAAAGGGGCCGATGGGAAGCTCAGTCAACACAGTCGAAAACTCTTCCGAGAAATCTGATATTTTGACCATAATGTTCCCCTCCCCGGTCATGCACAGCTTGAAATCGTCGAGGCTGACAACCACTTTCCGTTTTGTCATGTACGGTAGCAAGAATTGGACACCCTCTTGGCTCACGCGGTACATGGAATCACTGGTCATGTTGGTATTCCGGACAAAGGCTTTGACGCCGGAGCCGATGATAGTGATTCTCTTTTGAATCCCCTGGTCAATGTAATTCTCCTTCACGCTCTTTCGGATGTAATGTAGAACCTTTCCGCCACCACAAGCGCGTGTCATCATCTGATCCTTTGGAAAATTGTCGTCAAAACCATAGAACTCGATGAGCGGTCCGAAGGCAGCCTCATCGACAGGAATAAAATCATCTCTTCCCAGATCCTTGTGCTTGCCCCCCTGCTTATCATCAAGTCGATTGGCCTTGACTTCTCTCTTCAGCTTTGTGCTCATTTCTGTGGCGCCTGCAATATCCTCTGGCCCCTCAGCTTCCCCAGCAGTGCCCTCCACGGCGTTACCTTTGTCGCCTTCTGCACCACCAGCACCTTTGCCTTCTGCAGCAACTGCTTCGTCCGCCACATCATCCGAGTCGAGTTTGGCGCGCTTGAGTTCTGGGCCCTGTTCCGAGGCATCATCTTTGGGTTCTAACAGGTGCTTACCTCGGGCCTCTCTGCGGCTCACGGGAGCGACCTTTTTGAGGAGAGCTACGAAGAACCCGCCCGTGTCGTTATCTTGGGACAAACAACGCATACACTTTTCCAAGTGAAACTGTTGCGCTTCTTCCTCTGTTGGCGGGAAGCAGGTAGGCTTGATCCGTTTGGCAAGGTTCTTGGGGACTTCGTCGATGGACTTGAAATGCTTTAAACCTGCCTTTTCGGCCAAGCCAATCAGCGTTTCGTCGTCCCAAGAAGCGGGTGGCTCAAATCTGGGTTTTGAAGAAGGCTTGGTTTCCACCTTGTTGGTGCTCTCTTGCTCTGCCTTGGCGGCAACGTCCTCATCAGCTTTTGCTGCTTTCTCTTCCTGGGTGTCCATGTCAGCTGTCTCTTCATTTTCGGTCGTGGCGTTGGTTGGTGGATCAGCGTCTTTTTGCTGCGCCTTCTCCTCCTCCTCCTCGCCTTGCTTTGGATTGTCGCCTGCTGCTTTCTTTTCCTTTTCTTCCCACTCGGCACGTTTTTGTTTCATTTTGGCATTGTTCTTTTTATGCTCATTCTTGATTTGCTTCATGCTCTTTTCTTCGGCGAGCACTTTCCACGTTTTCATGCCAGGTCGGACCTTGAATCCTGCCAAGGGAGCATCGACCAGTTCCAAGCTTCCCTTGGATCGCCTGAGTAGTTCGGACACTACGGCTTCATTTTCAATGGGATTATGGGAACAGGTGGAATAGCACATGTAACCGCCAACTTTGAGCAATGCCACTCCCTTCCAAGCAATATCCAGCTGCAAGGAATGCAAAGCCAGTGCTCCCAACTGATTCCAATTTTTCCAAATACCAATATTTTTCCTCGAAGTGCCGTCACCCGAGCAGGGAACATCCGCCAGAATGCGATCAAAGGAGAGTGATTGTTGTGGGAAGAATTGCGCCTCACAGCTCGTAATGAGCACGGCTGGATTATTGTGCATGATCCGTCTCAGTTGCGTCACCAGCATGTAGGCTCTTTGATAGGATGCATCATTGGCAATCATGGATCCTTCGGGAGACAGTTTTTCCAATATTTGACACGTTTTGCTTCCGGGCGCGGCACACATATCCAGAACTGAATCGTTTGGCTGTGGCGACAAGACAACTGGAGGTACCATGGACACAGTTTCTTGTCGGGTAATGAATCCAGCTGCTGTTTGTCGTTTCATCCATTCAAAGAGTTTTCCCATTTGTGGGTCCTTTCTAATAATCTTCCGATCGACGCCGAGCTGGTAGGCATGTGGCAAGAAGGGAATGCGATGAATAATCGTTCTTGTTTCGCTAGTATTGTTGGAAGAATCCACGTAGAAACTCTCCTGATAGGCTTCCTTGTTCTCCTCGCCGTTTTCTTCGGCTTGTTTCTCCTTGTTGGCTCGTTCCTTTTCACATTCCTCGATGATTTCCTGTAGTTCCTTTTCCAGACGTTCTTTCAACGATTCGGAAACATCAAAGGCTGTGCGAAAGGATGCGGGCAGAATCTTGCCAATGCTGGTCCTCCATCGCAGTCGTTCCGCATCTATTTCTTCCGGTGATTGACATTCCACTAGATCCCCTTTATCGTTGAAATACTGATGGTGGATCCCTTGCAGCGCGTAGTAGGCCTCCATCTTGCAATTGCCCTGGGTGACAGTCACGAGGTTGAAATCCCCGCGATACGGCTCTTTGGCCGCCTGCCGCTCTTCCCTCATCTTCTTCTTGTTGCGAAACTTGGTCTTTCCTTTCTTGCCGCCCATCTTGATGCTGTTCTGTTCTGATTTCTGATACTTGTGCGATGCTTTGGATTTTGGGTTGGTTTGGTTGTGCTTTGGGAGATCTTTCCAAGATTTTTGGAAAAAATGAAGGGTTGGTGCCCCACTCCCGGTCCGTCGACGGCTAGACGGCACAGTAGACAGTACATGTACGAAAAAGATTTAAAAGTCGAAGAAGCTTCTTGTTTCTCAGAGATTTAAGAAGAAGAAGAGTCGTTGAAAATGTGATTCCCGAAAAAATCTGCTCACATTTTGACTTCAAACACAACATTCACACAACCGAGACAACGCTTGTCTTTGCTTGTGATTGTTGAGTGATTACCTTTGCTGGAAAACCTCACCTCTCTGTCAAGTACATGCAATTTGACTGCAAAGACTGCCACAACGGGTCCATTGATTACCTTATTGAACATTATAAATAAGAATGCAGCAAGAGTATCCACACGCTGCACCTCCTCCCCTGCTTGAGCTCCAGCTCGTGGACCAGCGCCATCAGCGGCATCCCCTGCCGATGGATGTCAACATTCCCATTCACAATATCAACCCGTATCACAGAGTTCAGGAAATTCTTCAAGGTAAGCAATTCTAGTTTAGTTTGTCTTGAGGTAGTTCCCAGTAAGATCGAGATCTCATTATACTCACATACTCACTCACCATCTCTTGTATCTGTTTGGTGCTTTGGTGCAGCCATTTCTCGCACGGTTCCTCAGGCAGAACGACACCAAGTATTGGAGAGTTCCTTGCAGTTTCTGTCGCACGAAGATACTGCCCTCCATGACTATGAGGTCGACATGGGGGCCGACCGAGCGCTCTGCTTGCAGCTGGGGTATCTGGATATGCTTCAGACATCATCCCCCACAAACAACAACAACAACAACAACAACCACACACAGCAATCACGGATGAACAACTACAACAATGATACTGTTACGGATGTCAGCGAACAGATCCTCATTTGCTGGTGCCTCACTCGGATCTATCAATGTTCCAGGGAACAACGGCTTCGATCCTTCCAGGAAATCGGACTCTCCGACCTGGTCCCCATCCTTACAAAGATACTGAAGCGATGCATCAGTACCAACAGTGCTGCGGACAATAGCAACAACAATAGCTGGAAAAATCATGGTAGAGCTCTGTCGCAACACATGGATATGATGGTCCCAGTTCTGCGCATTCTTAGGATCTTTGCCAAGCTCGACGGCCCAGTCAAATCAGACCTGTTGAGATGGAAAAATGGAAGGCTAGTGACAGTCCTGGTGGACATTTTGGCAACTCATTCCAACAATAACGACAGTGAGAACAGTTTTGATAATGACAACAACAACAACCATCCAGCAGCATTGCTCGTTGACAACAACAGCAACCAAGTTAGAGGAGGGGTTGAAGACGAAAACCATTTCATTCGACAATCTGTTGTAGCCATGGAGAGCTTTGGAGTACTCAAAGATCTTTCCTTTCGACTGGACAACAATGACAAGGAATACATGTACAGGTTCCTTCGAAATACTCTCATTCAATACTCTCTCAGTGCCAGCTGCGGTAGCAACAATGGCGACGATGGAACACGGCCAAGAGTTGTGCATGCCTCGTTGCATGGAAAGCTATTGGAATCGGTAGCTGCCATGCTTTGGAATTTTGCCACAGCACCCAAGCTCAGTTTTGAAATGGCTCAGCAATCCATTCTGTTGAAGAGCCTAGGTCTACTGTTGCAGTATACCGGTAGCTCCTCGCTCGCAGCAGAGGAAGTCGTCAAGATTAAACGGAATGCATTGAGCGCGTTTGGTAACCTAGTAGCTGCTCTTACAAGAGAGTACAGAGGAATGGTCCTGTTGACTTCGCCCACCCGAGCGGCAGATGAAGAACGTAGCAATGCAGCAGCGTTTCGCAGTCAAGATTGGATCCTTCCTACATTTTCACGGCTGCTCCGCTACGAATCCGACAAAGACATTCAACGACGGGCCATGAGAACGATTCGTTGTTTAGCTGCCCGTGCATGGGGAAGGGAGTTTCTTTGGGAAGGGTCGGACGTGAAAGGTTGCCTAACACTGGTGCTGAATGACAGCAATGCTGTGTTTGACGTTTCGACACGTATACAGGCCTGCGAGACAATGCTAAACTTGACAGAGGATCCCCACATTATGGAACAAAGCAGCGTGATATTTGAAATCTCCCTGTCTCAAGCCATTGCAAAACTCAAAGATCAGCCACAACTGAAGGAACAGGACAAGCTCATTGTCGCGTCGACTCGTGCATTGTATTTCTGTTTGGAACGCAGACCTCGGGGGCAGGAGAGCTTCTTTCCTCGACCTGACGCCTTCTTCGCGAGCTTGCTGGCATGCACCAAAGTTGAAATGGAGGCCACGCACCCACCCATCGCTCAGCTTTTGCTCAAATTGGCAACCACAGATAAGGTTGTAGCGACCCAAGAATTCGAACACAACAGATCTCCAAATGGAGGGATGAAAACCAAATGCCCTGTTTGGCAAGAAGCAGTGATCTCTCCACCAGTGTTGGACACGCTAACAGCTCTCTTGATTGCCAAGGGCCCCCTGTTCTATCAATCACACAGCCTTGCATTGGATGTTATTCATCACTTCTTGCAGAACCCCTCGAACAAAAAGGTCCTAGCAAAGAATGCGGAGCTTTTGTCGGCAATGGTCGGAGTTCTTCTCGTGCGCTGAGTACCCCCGGACGACAAGAAAAAGAAGGCTAGTCGATGGTTTTGGATATTGTGCCGGCGATATGACTTCCCCGACGAGGTACTAGTACATACAGTGACGAGCACACTAAGGTGCGAAAATTTGTTAATCGGTGGTTAGTAAAGGCATTCTTAACGTAGCCTTAACAAGATCTCCCTTTCGTTATCATCTACTATCACTCTCCAAAGTAGACATTCTAACACCAATATTGACTTTGGGTGGGGCATTCCAGCTTAGAGTATCACACAATTAACAAGAAGTTACCAAAAGTTTAACCACCAATTCTTAACAACAATAATGTCGTCCCAACTTAGACAATAATTAGAACACCTACTTAACACATTGTTTATATCAAGTCGTTGCACCAGTCATGTATTCAAAGCAAATCACTCAGAACCTACACGTTGCGCCTTTAACCCTTTCCATACAAAAACGGAAACAGAATAGTTCAACAATTTTAGCCACAAAATATTTGAACAAGACTCTGACCATTTTACTTCAAGGCTAATTGGGATATTTGCGTCCTATGCTGGCATTGCATGGCAGCAATCCGTATCAGACATGCACGCTAAGGCATGCATGATGAATGATTGTCAATACATGATTCAGACATGTGAATGTATCTCTTCTCTGTTTT